AATGATTGAGATATAAATACAATTCGTGTCAGTGTAACTAGCTTGTAACTGATTTACGCAAGTGGTAGGTGACACGTGATTAGTCAACTGTCTTACAACTAATTGTTTATTCTAACACTGGGTCAACTGATCCGACCATCCAGTCCGGTTTGGTTTTGAAAACCATGATTTTGATTAATAGCTAAGATTTTACAAATATCATCACTCTCATTCTGAACAAGAATAATGTAACTTGCATGCTAGAATGTGAAACCTATAATTAGTGTGTTGTCCAAGAAATAATAAGTGATTCGGCTCAGTTTGGAAGGAGAACAAATGCAATTATATAGAGTACAAAACCTTTACATTTTGTATTATTTGTATGCATTTATACTGTATATATTTGCATTTGTGCTCTTTCCAAACTAAGCCAAAAAGAGAAAAAAAAACAGTAATCTAACACAATTCCTGTGATAAAATCCGAAATTGAAAATGCTTTCTCGTAGATATTTTGATCCTCTTTTGTACATACGGCAAAACAGTACATCCAATGTTTTGTTTGTAGAACTGAAGGTTGATGTGCTCACAAGTGGTTTTAAACACATTTTCTCAAGGAAGCCTATTCCTTTCCTTTCTTGGATAAGAATTTTCTTTCCGTTGTAGGTGGACAAGATGGTTTTCAATTTATCGACGAACAGTTCAAGAAAAAGAACAATTTTCATGAAATATTACAAATAGTGACAGCTAACCTACTTTACTTCTATCGTACACATTTGTATGGTATTCAATGCATCATTTAGTTCTTAAAAAGTTATGATACAATAAATAATAAAAAAATTAAGGATATTAATTTGGGCACATCTCATTTTGATAAAATTGGCCATCACTATTAAAGTATGGATCACAATGGTTCAGGTTAAATTGTCAACTTGGCTTGTCCGGACCATATAGCTAGGATTGCATAAGGGTCATATTCATCAGCTTTAGGGTTAGAGCTGGGTTTAGGTTTTGGCTGACCTGCCCTGGTCATGATTTGCAAATATACATACAATGTATTTTTATAATTTTTAATTTCTAAATCGATAACCTTAAAAGTTGAGATTTCTTTTTATATTGATTTTGATTTTTTTTTCTTTTTATTTAATGGAAAAAGTGACACCTTAAAATGTATATTAAAAAATTATAATTCAAAGGCTACAGGTCAGATTAATTTGATATCAGTTTAAACTCGGGTCAGGTGGACACATCGAAGGGTCAGATTAGAGTAGAATAGACCTGTTCATGGGCTAGGCCGGGCCAGGCTTTTACTCCTCATTAACAGGATTTTTTCAGGCTTGAGCTCGAGCCCAGCTCGACCAATGGGCCTATAACTTGGGCCCAAGCCCGGGCCCGAGCCCGAATTCCGACCTAACAATGACTTTTTCACTTTTATTAATGATTGCATCGCGAGTTTGCCAGTGAGAATAAGTTCGCCAGAATTCACTAGTGAGAATGAGTTTGCCTGAGTTCGTTGGAGTTCATTAGTGGCGCGGGTGTTCACTAGTGAGAATGAGAAGATGGAACAAAGAGAGAGAGAGAGAGAGAGAGAGAGAGAGAGAGAGAAAGCTCAGAACTCACCGCCGCAGTTTACGGTGGCGTCGGTGTTGAGTTTGCTTCTAAGAGGGTTCGCCAGTTCTTGATAGTTGAGACCTAAGAGGCTGAAAGGGTGACAATGAGATGAATGAATAGTCGATTTAGGATTATTAGGATTTAAAGGGGATATAAAAGTCAGGCTGGACCCGGCTTTTCTGACAAATCCCGAGCCCGGCCCGTAATATAGTCGGGCTCGGGCTTTTAGGCCCGAGGTCAAGCCTGCAGGCTAAAGTCTATGTGCAAGCCCATCTGGGGGCTGGGCCGGACCGGCTCGTCGGGCTACTTGGCCCATGAACAGAAACAGGTCTAGGGGTAAAGGCTACAGGTCAGATTGATTTGATATCAGTTTAGACTTGGGTCAGGTGGAGACATCGAAGGGTCAGATTAGAGTAGAATAGGCCTGTTCATGGGCCGGGCCGGGCCAGGCTTTTACTCCTCATTAATAGGATTTTTTCAAGCTTGAGCTTGAGCCCGGCTCGACCAATGGGCCTATAACTTGGGCTCAAGCCCGGGCCCGAGCCCGAATTCCGACCTAACAATGACTTTTTCACTTTTATTAATGATTGCATCGCGAGTTCGCTAGTGAGAATAAGTTCGCCGGAATTCACTGGTGAGAATGAATTTGCCTGAGTTGGCTGGAGTTCACTAGTGGCGCGGGTGTTCACTAGTGAGAATGAGAAGATGGAACAAAGAGAGAGAGAGAGAGAGAGAGAGAGAGAACTCAGAACTCACCGCCGCAGTTTACRGTGGCGTCGGTGTTGAGTTTGCCTCTAAGAGGGTTCACCAGTTCTTGATAGTTGAGACCTAAGAGGCTGAAAGGGTGACAATGAGATGAATGAATAGTCAATTTAGGATTATTAGGGTTTAAAGGGGATATAAAAGTCGGGCTGGACCAGGCTTTTCTGACAAATCCCGAGCCCGGCCCGTAATATAGTCGGGCTCGGGCTTTTAGGCCCGAGGTCAAGCCAACAGGCTAAAGTCTATGTGCAAGCCCATCTGAGGGCCGGGCCGGACCGGCCCGTCGGGCTACCCGGCCCATGAACAAGAACAGGTCTAGGGGTAAAGGCTACAGGTCAGATTGATTTGATATCAGTTTAAACTCGGGTCAGGTGGAGACATCGAAGGGTCAGATTAGAGTAGAATAGACCTATTCATGGGTCGGGCCGGGCCAGGCTTTTACTCCTCATTAATAGGATTTTTTCAGGCTTGAGCTCGAGCCCGGCTCGACCAATGGGCCTATAACTTAGGCCCAAGCCTGGGCCCGAGCCCGAATTCCGACCTAACAATGACTTTTTCACTTTTATTAATGATTGCATCGCGAGTTCGCTAGTGAGAATAAGTTCGCCGGAATTAACTGGTGAGAATGAGTTTGCCTGAGTTGGTTGGAGTTCACTAGTGGCGTGGGTGTTCACTAGTGAGAATGAGAAGATGGAACAAAGAGAGAGAGAGAGAGAGAGAGAGAGAGAACTCAGAACTCACCGCCGCAGTTTACGGTGGTGTCGGTGTTGAGTTTGCCTCTAAGAGGGTTCACCAGTTCTTGATAGTTGAGACCTAAGAGGCTGAAAGGGTGACAATGAGATGAATGAATAGTCAATTTAGGATTATTAGGGTTTAAAGGGGATATAAAGGTCGGGCTGGATCAGGCTTTTCTGACAAATCCCGAGCCCCGCCCGTAATATAATCGGGCTCGGGCTTTTAGGCCCGAGGTCAAGCCTGCAGGCTAAAGTCTATGCGCAAGCACATCTGGGGGCCAGACTGGACCGGCCCGTTGGGCTACCCGGCCCATGAACAGGTCTAGGGGTAGAGGCAAACTGGCACCTATCTATAATGCTAAAAATCATAAACCCCAATCTATTATGCTAAAATTGAACATTTGCTGGTATTTTTTTCTTTTTAAAGCATATACTTTTCTGTTACTAAATATTAGAGATGTGGCAAACTGACACCTATAGATAGAAAAGAAAAAAAAAAAGAAAGAAAAGATGTTCCGAAACCACTCCTCCCAAATAAAATAGAAAACAATCAAGTAGCTCATAGTTTTACATATATTGCATATAAGACCCAATTTTTTATAGAATACAATCCGACATGGGCCATATTTTTGCCTATCAAGCAAGTAATGACAAGTTTCTATTTTTGCCCAAAAAATAATAAAAAATAAAATAGAAAACGTGGGAAAATGTGAAAAAGAATTTGTTACGGCCGAAAATTGACAAAGAAATGAACATGAAAGAAATTGTATTTCCTATACCTAATACTCTTGTTTTAGAATATTGCGAAGTGAAGCAAGAAATTTGCAATATAATTACCTCTCAGTTGTAAGTTTCATATACACATTATACTTATATCTAACACCACTACAAAGGGGAACTTGTTTGTTCCAAACCCAACCTTTTTCTGATTATCCCTTCTCAATAAAATGCCAGATTCACAGACACCGTCTGGCAATTATAGCCGGTCAGTCCCTTGAGATCGAACACTGCACTGTGCACTGGATTTCAAATATGGCTTATAGAACCAAGGTATGCTAACATGTTGAGAATTTCGTATTTTGGGAATGGGGCAAGGTGCGATTCCACCTAGGGGTTAAGAAAAGTACTGAATAACATATATAGTTTATTTTTGATAATATATAGATCTGCTTGTAACTGTTTTATGATCATTAAAACAAATTTGGGTTCAATCTTTGTGGTGACATATCTGGTATGGATCCAAAGAAGCAAACTGAATATTACGTGGATTCAAGCCGAGTCAAATAGAATATATATTTGGCTATTTGAACCCAATTTGAGAGAAAAAGGCTTGAATTGGATTTGAGATAGAAACATGAATTTGAATTTAGCTCAACTCAAAACCTCGTTTATATGAATATTAAAAATTTAAAATATTATATAATATAAATTCGATTAGACTCGCAAGTTTTACGAGGTAAATATTATTGGACTTGAGTGATTCAATTAGCAACAGCCCTACATATAAATTAAGCTCAAACTCTCAAAACTCCATTTACATCCAACTGAATCAAACCTTTTAAGAACCAGAATGACTTGTAAAAAATTCAATTCGGGTCCATCCTTTATGTTTGGTTTGAAGGAAAGGTAGGAAAAGAAAGGGAAAGACAAGGAAAATTATATCAGGTTTGTAAAGGCTTTCTTATGTTTCCCTTCCTTTCCATTCATTTTCCTTCAAACCAAACATGACCTTAGGGTCCCATCAACTGCTGAACTGTGTGAATACTCAAGCAAACAAAACCAGCCTTGAAACTCAGATAATTGCTTCGAAAAGTCAACAACCGCCAAGGAATCCACGTGAGCAAGCAGTGACATGACTGCCATTTATAGCTAAAATTGTTATTGTGATTACCCTTTCTCCTTTCCAACTGCCAAAAAAATTTCTCCTTCTGCAACTTTCACCTTCTATATTCCAATTCTCCTACATCAGCAACAACACGAATGAAGAACCACTGCAATTTGTTTGTTTCCACAAACATTGCCCCACTTAATTTCCCCAAATACCTTGCCTTTTAAGCTCGCTCTCTCTCTCTCTCTCCATTTCCTCTGCGTATATATGTGCGTGTCTGCGCGCGCACAAATTCATCTCTATCGCGAAGGAGCATGCTTGAATGTCCAGAGACAGGTACGCAATAAGAAAACAATGAACCAAAGGCCAAATTATTTGCCAGACTAACGTGTAATTTCCTTCTACCTTAGATGAAATTGCAAGAAGAAAAATAATCAACATGCATCTCCCCCTTTTTTTCAAACATTTTCATCTTTTGTCAACCATAATTAATGTTCACGGCTACCCATAAGTTCATTTTCTTTCTTCTTTTTCTGATTCTTCGTTTTTTTCCGCTTATTTTATGTCATTTTCCCCCCTCTATTTTGTTGTCCAGGGAGAGATTTGATGAGATAGGTACGAAGATCAAGAAGAGAGAAGCCGATGCAGCGGATCGAATAGGAAAAAGACACATGTTGGGCCCTCCTCCTGGGACCTTAAACACTATTACACCTTGTGCCGCCTGTAAACTCTTGAGGCGAAGGTGCGCACAAGAATGCCCTTTCTCTCCTTATTTCTCTCCTCATGAGCCCCAGAAGTTCGCTTCTGTTCACAAAGTTTTTGGTGCAAGCAACGTCTCCAAGATGCTAATGGTGAAATTAAATCATAGCCTACTTCTCTCTAATCCTGTAGTATTCAATTCGTTTAATTTGTAAATTTATCAATCTTTATTGTGCAGTTGATTCATTTATGTTCAATAATTTTTCAGGAGGTGCCGGAGAGCCAACGTGTAGATGCAGTAAATAGTCTGGTTTACGAGGCGAATGTGAGGCTAAGAGATCCAGTATATGGGTGCATGGGTGCGATATCCGCCTTGCAACAACAAGTTCAATCCTTACAGACTGAGCTTAATGCAGTAAGGGCTGAGATACTCAAGTACAAGTATAGAGAAACTAGTGCTAGTATCATTCCTTCGTCTCATGCTGCTTTCTTTTCTTCCGGAGCCGTGTCTCTTACTGCACCACCACCAGTCCACTCGTCGTCGCCGCCTCCGTTTCCTCCTCCACCTCCGCCATCGCCACTTCATCCTCTTCCTGTCTCGTCTTCTTCTTCATCCGTGTACACTACCCAATCGAGCAACACCGATTATAGCTCTATTACCAATGAAAATGTCTCATATTTTGGCTAAAACCAGATAAGTTTGGTTGCCTGCTGTTTCATTTACATCGGCTGTTTCCTACTTTTTCTTTTTTTATTGTGGATGAATCACATGGAATAAAAGAGCAAAAAAATATTGATTGTTTTAGGGGGTCTTTAGCTGTTTGTTACTATACTTCAATTCTATTTCATGATAAGAAATCCATACATCTCTATGAACATTGTTATTATTGGTATTGGGTCTCTCTCTCTCTCTCTCTCTCTGTCTCTCTGTCTCTCTCTCTCTCTCTCTAATCACTCCTCTTACTTACTCCGGTGGGATATCTTATTACCGGTTTCTTGGCACTTGATTCTCATATCTGTTTTTCTCCTCTTCTATTTTGTCCTCGTTAATGAAGAAAAGTAAAACAGCTTAGAGAAAAATGAAAAATCGAAAATCCAGAAGAATTCCTCAAGTCCTCCTCGTAGAGATTTTCAGAAGAAAAGGCAGCAGAGTCTCCGGCAGCAAGCCTGTTTTTCTGACAAGCCTTATCTTCTGATGTTGGACACGTGCGAGTTGGATCAGATTCTGACATACATGAAGTCTTTGCACATGTGAGTTACGTATAATGGACTGTACTCAGTTTTCGGAGTTCCTGTACGTGTTTATTGTCTGTGCCCTTGGAAGAATCTGGAGCTGGAGCTCAGATCATTATTAAATGGCAGTGATACAAAAGGTATGGCTCATGGTTGATGTAAATCCGCCAGTCCCCGTCTAAGGATGGATGTTTGAACCTTCTGAGAACTTCATAATAATGGGGCCCTGTAACAAAATGGTCTCCCTTTCTCTGTCAAATGTATCTCTAGTCCTGTACTGATCGAGATCCTGAGATCCTGAGATCCTGAACTAGTTATCATTTTTAGTCTTTGTGGGTATGAAAACCAGTGCTCGTATATAATACCATTGTTGCATTGTCCGTCTGCCTTTTTTAGGGTTTGTTTTCAAGTGGTTTCAGACTTTCAGTAATACTTCTCTTTTTTATTTTTTTCCAATGAGACTGAATATTTATTTCTCTGGCTTTCTTTAGTAGCTAGCGTGTGAAACCAGTTTAGTTTGAATGCTAATATTAGTCTTGAGTAATATGCTGAAATTGTTGAAAACCCATATACTTCTCTAGAAATTCAATTCGGTTTGTTCATTAATTAATTGGTTAAACTGTTTCTTTTCTTAGATATATACAAATTTTATAGAGATGAGGGATATCTATTTAATACTAAACAAATAAAGTTCTCTATCAATTTAGTTTATGAGATAATGCATTCCTTTGCTTGGCAATCTATTTGAGGCTACACTTGGAAAGTTATATCCAATGTTGTCTTCTTTCTATTTAATCAATAAGGCCTCTGCCTTTGAAGCATTAGGGGTATGAGAGAGAGAGAGAGACAGATGTATGGTTGGGTGGTCAATGAACCTTCCAGCTAGTTCAATTTTATAAATGGGTTTCCTTGGCGTGTGGAGTTCAACCTGAGTGGGGGAAGAGGGGAAGAGGGGAAGAGAAACCCTTTCAATAATATATAAGAAAATCATAGGAAGCTGGATTCTCTTCGATATCTTCTGTCTTTCCTTTTGTTTTCATTATACTTCAGCCTCTATTTATCAATTATATGCATATGCAATGTTTATTTCATAATGCCTCGGTGGAACCTATAGAGATGTGATGGAATTTGGTCTCCCATCGTAGTTTCTTCAAAGGGTGGCATCTTAGCTTGTCTTATCTCAACTCCCGTTACATTCTTTTTTTAGATAAAATAGAAATTTCAAAATTAAGAATTATTATCGTTGCTTCTCCTTCCCTCCAAAATCTCAATTCTGGTCTCCTTTATGTAAGAAGTGAGTTTGGTATCGGTTTTAAAAAGAAGGGAAGTCATTAAAAAAATGAAAAAAAAAAAAAAGAGATGTTTCTGAAATGGTTGATTTAATTGAGTTGGGACAACTGGGCAGAATTTTTTGGTACAGCTATGGTGGTCTCACTTCTTGAAACGAGCTTAGCTTCATTTAATTCTAGTCTATATCGAGGTTGACATGGCATGTGAACAGATGGGTTCCAAGGCCTATATTTATTTTGTTTATTAACTGGGGTAAGCCCGCCGAGAATCTTTTCTTTGCTTCCATTAACATGTGGCTCAAAACTAGTATAGGGATAGGCGACCCCCTGACCTGGCCTGGCGCCCTCCCCCTGTTACAAAAATATTCACTTCTCTCCGAATCCTGCGTTTGGTTTGAAGGAAAAAATAGGGAAAGGAAAGAAAAGATAAGGAAACTTTTACAGATTTTGTACAAGTTTCCCAACCTTTTCCTTCAAACCAAACATAGCTATGTTTTTGTAATCAAATTAGCTTTTAAAACAATGGAATGGAAGAAAAATAAACCAAAGGTTTTACTTGAAACTAGTTTAGCTTTGATAGGGAAAGCATTTATCTTCCATTTTCACGACCCATAATATACCTATCTCACACACATGTGTTCACACGGTCAAGGATTTAAATATCGATACAATAAGTTTGATACGGGACGTATCGTGGTATCGGTTAATAATGTATCGTAGCGTATTTTGCGAATCGTTCGTATCGAATTGATACATATGGTATCGGCCTGTATCGCATTGTATCGGCCAATACGCACCGGTATGCACTGCATCCATTCAATAATCTCCATAAAAAATGCAAATGAGACGATTTGAACTCGGGTCACCTCAAGCACATTTAGAATTTGGTGTTTCCAAACCAATAAGCCACACTACATTTCATAATGTAAAGTAAAATAAAATAACTTTTTCTGTTCACATGCAATTTAAATGAAAAACACATATTTATATTTAACAACTCTAACTAAAAATTAAAAAATAATATTTAAAAATGGTATTTTATAAGCTAATAGAATAAATAATATATCAAATCTACATTTATATAAAAAAGATGATTTCTAATATCAAGAAATTTATACAAATAGAATATTAATAATAGAATAATTATTTTAATACTTAAAATTTATAAATTTGCAAATGATATAAATCTTAAAATTTTTATATACTTTTATTAGTTATTAACTAATATTTTAATTTACATTAATAAGTAATAACAACATATTTATTATTTACAAAAAATAAAAATATTATATACAAACTATTGAAGAAAATAATATTAAACTGAATCTATCAAATCCAATAATCTACATTTATTTCAAAAAATGATTTTTTATTTCCCAAAATTTATATAAATAAAAATATTAATAATGGAATAATTATTTTAGTAATTAAAAACCATGAAATTGTATATGATATGCATCTTAAAAATTTTAACAAATTTGATATACTTTAAGTTAATATTATATTTTTATAAATTAATGATTGATATTTTAATTTGCACTTGAAAATTTAATATTTAGTTGACTTTTCCTTAATGTTAAAAAATTAAAATAGTAAATAAAAAAAAATTAAAATAAGATAGGTGCATATGTTTAGTGTCTTAGACTCTTGATTGATGCACTATAAATAAAATTATGCATCCCGGTTCATTAATTGTAATATATTTCTACATATATACTCTTAATATTTACATATTTTATGTATTTATATACTCTTTTGTGATTATTTTGATCTTAAATTTAGTAATATTAATATATTTATGAAATTCATATGTATTTCTCTAGCGTATCCATGCGTTTCTAAAGTGCATTCGTATCCGAATTATCCGATACAATACCCGATACCAATACTTTAATCCTTGATCACGGCCATTCAAGGCGCCCTCTTCTCGCTCAAGGTTTCATTCTTTCTTTTAATCTTTTAACTTTATATTATATGAGGTTGTCTTCTATCTTTGTTAATAGAATTTGGAGGAGGACTACCTTAAAATTTTACTAACCATTTTCAATAGTAAAAATTAACAAGAAAACATAGCCCACCTTGACCCTAAACCCAAACATACAATGATACAATTCTCTCTCTCTCTCACCATCTCAAACCCACCAAAAAAAAAAAAAGAGAAAATATAGATAATTTGATACAGAACATCTAGTTGTTGAAAGAATCGGTAAACCCAAAAAATTATCTTCATGAAGAATTCTTGAAAGCTCGTGGGGGGAGAATATTATTACCCTCATAGGCCAAGAAAGTGACTTGATTATTAGTACCATAGTTGGCTAAGATAGCAAGTCCGAACAACGGTTTCCTTTCACGGAAAATATGATTAATAATACTTTACCCATGGTCATGTCGTCACTTTCGATTTCTATCTCTCTTAATATGTAGACCATGCATGATCCTCACTCTGAGAATAAGACCATCATATAAAGCAAGAAGCTCCGCCTGAAAGAGATGTGCAATTGCCCTAGTAACACTGCAAATTAAGCAATGAGAAGAGTACCAAAAGTATTTCTAAGAAGATCTCCACCACCTCCTCCACCCAGATTTTATCCCTACAATTACCATCAACATGGAGGATAGTTCCATTTAATTAACTTCCTTGCTCTCAACGTTATTGTATTCTTATCACTGATGGAAGGATCACTAGATATATTATTAATGTCCCAAAGCCACTTTTTGATATTTTCTAATTTCTATAAGCACAAACGAAGTAGAGACCTTCATTCCACCGTAAACAGTACACTTATATTTCAAATTTAAAACAGAAGGTGAAGTTTTCTGGTTATCGACAAACTTAATAACGTAATAGTTTTCTATAACTAGAGAGAATAAGATAATTGCTATCGAAAAACCTTATCACTTCTTTTGTGGAAGAAGTCAAGTTATGCGTATGAGAGAGATAAGAGGACGACCAAGTTCAAAGAAGGGTTGGAATGGAGTGAGGAAAAAAGAGGGGGAATACATAATAAAAATGTATAGAATTAATGGGAGTTTGGAAGATTGTATTCCGCCCATACCACCCTGAGATTCTGTTCCGCTTAGTGGGTTTGGTCAAGTGACGATTAGAGCAGGAATGACAATGACCATGTGCACTCGTTTTGTCGACAGAGATGGTCGGAAATTAAAGCAATAGCCAGACGAGGTGGGTATTATCTGATTCTCTACTTCACACTCAGGTTCTTATCAATTAACTGGTAATAATGGCTTTTATCAACCGACCCCCCTCACGGAGAACACTATCTTGGGACGTTTGTGCCATCGATCTTCTACTGTGCAATCATTCACCTCACTTCATTGTGCAGGGAGTTGCTGAGACGATGGGC